TAGGAAGGACAAAGATAAATACAGAAACACATTAAAGAAAATGACATATCTTGTACAATTATTAACTGATTCGAAGATTCGTTTTGCAAGATACAGTTGCTATATATTCCGGAATACTCGTAAAAGTCATATGTCATACGTGCATAAAGGACATTGACATATAACCAGAGTTTAGAGATAACGTTGACTTTTACAAGTTGTACCCAATACATTTGATAGTACAAAATGTAGTCTGGCTAATAATTTCTTTGATACATAATAGCTTTGAAGTGCTAATTGGAATATTGTATTTATTATAAAAAATAATAGATTATCATAAATAACATCGAATATATGAAAATTGCTCATATTCAGCTTATTCTGATTGCCATGATTGACAAATAAAATATGTGTTGTTTGTTGTTGTAAAAAACAATATAAGGGTATAACATGGTATGCTTGCAAATAAAACAAGTCCATGTATACTGGAGAATGAGAAAATAAAAATCCAGAAAACTGTACCAAATGTAAATAAATCAAAAGCAACGCGACAGACATAGGGAAAATCACATATAAGAACATACAATACAAAAAAATAAGCTTAAGACATTATGTACTCCTATCAAAACACAGCTACTTTTAGTGTTCTTAACTCACCATGAATTGTTTGCGACACGAACTCTTATTCCAATTGATCAAAGTAAAGAATGAGTCGACTCGTTGTCATACACGATAGGAAGAACATGGAAAACTGCGTCTCGTATCAAATTTGATAACAATAACATATTTTTTTATGGCGACCGTAAAACGTTTGCCATATAAATGATATGCATTATGGATGAGTATAACCTTTGAAAGAGAAGTTTATGTATTAATGTGTTTGTACTTCATTGACATCCTTAAGTTTGATAACCAAACCAGCTTTTATACAAAAACAATACGCAATGCAACAGAAAAAGACTATTCACTATTTTAAAACAAAATCATCTTGCCTGTTTCAGATAAAGATTGAGTTTTAAATTTCATTTGGTGTAGTAAGTCAAGTGTTTTAACTCCTCAGTTTCCACTGTCCTTAACTTTCAGCCTTTTTTTTAAGGATGAGGTGTTGGTAATTATTAATTATTTTAAAAGAAACATTATTTTCATATTTTGCCCCAAAAAAATAGCTAATTTTGCAACAGGAAGTGTGGAGTACAGGTCATGTTCAAAGCAACCCAAAGCATACAAAAAATCAAAATGAATCGAAATGTAGAGGTAATATTATTTTCTATAACGCAAAATCTAAAACTGAAAAAAATAAGGATATACATCCCAAGCGTGGGATACTTCCTATTGTATAATACACACTCTGTAATAAAAACAATAAAAGAAAATATCGACTATCATATGTCAATGAGTGCAACTCGTCGACGGAAAAAAAATATCAGAAGTATCAATCGAAATGTCAATCGTCGTTTTGAAAATCACAAATTCTAAATAACGATGACGCCGACGCCGAAAACGGCACATATATAAGACTCATATCCGTCACTTCGTCGGTACGAGACAAATGTTCTGTAAAGGCGTCTATATGGATTGAAATAACAACATACACAATAAACAATAAAGTTGTCAATTCATTGATAATTATTTCATCATTTTTATAGATTTATCGTTCTCCTGTGGCCCTGGGTCCATTAAAGATTATGTCCTTTGAGGTGTGCTTCGTGTGATATCGTAGACAATTTAACCAATATCAAAATACAAAAATAGAATATTTTCATTAGAATTCGATAGTAGTTTGGCGATTGAGTGTTTATACCACGTTAATATCGGTCAGTTTAAGCAAACGTGACTTGTCTGCAGGACATTTTACAATACGCCAATGTCATTTATTTATTTCCTTTCATTTATCTAATAGATCCGAAAAGTGCTCACATATTACAACTTTTCCATGTCAGGCTGCTACCCAAATGTTGAGTTATTCTGTGTTTGAGAGTAGTGTGACGTAAATATGTGTTGGACGAACGAACGAACCTACGGACGGAAGGACAAGATGATTGCAATATAGCCCCCTATAAGGTGAGGGCTATGAAAAGTGCATTATCTGTAAAAAAAAAAAGAAAGTATAGTCAACGTGCGACAAGTTCGGCATCATATTCAGAACCATGCAACGTTATCAATGAAACAGATAACTGATATGTTTTGAATTTATTAGCAACATGTACAAATAAAAGCGTTGAGAACGGTATGTTTTTGTAACAAGTAACTAGGCAAGACTTATGATTTTGATTACAAAAAAATATGAACTAAACAAATAATCAGAAAACGGTATTTCATTAAATTTAATTATTTAATAGATTTTCTCGGTATTTGATGAAACACTGAAGAAACCAAATCCCAATAATTATTAATGTTTGTGTATAAAACATTATGACTCTCTTCAGAAAAGCTTGAGACAAAAAGTTTCGAATCAAAACCATCAAAACTTTTTAGAACATAAAAGCCAAAGGAACTTAGCAGAAAAAAGCTAAATATTCAAATGTAAGATGGAAACATAACGTAACATACCTTTATATACATTATAATCTGATAATTTTTCTTAAATTGTATGCATTGAAACTACAATTGGTTGTATGATACATTCAGATATTTACAGCTCATAAATAATGAGGAAAATCAAAAATTATTTACTAGAATTTTAAATTCTCCCTAATAATGTCACTTTTATAGCCAAATGGTGTCGTGCTGCCTAAGTCTACCACATCTTTTACAATTTTTAAATCATTAGTCTCATTAAAAATGAAAACGACAAAAACGAAAATAACATAAAAAGAAATCTTTCTCGAGATCGACTTTTAATAGATATTTAAGTAGACAAAGAAATGTTCAGAGGTTTTTTTGTGAACATCGAACGGAACAGAAAAAAATAAGAAGCTGTCAGAATTCTTTTAAACTCTCTCGATTTAATTTAGCACAACAATCATTTAACTATGAAAAGTTAACTATTGACATGTAAATATGTAATCATAGTAAATTATCGTACTTAAAACTACAAGAAATTGGTTTTGTCATTTATATTTGTTTTCTATACATTTGCGCTTATTTTTTTTAATTTCAAAGTAATCTTCTGGTCTCTAATTACATGTATAAATAAAAAAACATCACAACCCCTAACAATATGTGCAAAGAAGATTTCTTTTTGAAGACATAGCTGCGTTTCAAATATATATATATTTGTTTTGTATTTATTTTATTTTTTTCAAATAATATGCATCAAATTACAATATTTGGTCAAATATAGCAGTGATGAAATGTTTTTGATGTCGTTGTAATCCAACAACTACATATTTATCATTGAACATATTTTTTTTGTCGCCCTATAATAAATATAAAAAAAAGATTATGTTACAAAATTGATGTAATTTACCAAGTAAGACTTCAGGGCGTGTAAGGGATGGCCCGACCCATAATGTTTTTTTTTCAGATTTAAAGGGGTGTGCCCTATCATGCATCTTCCTTTCTGGGTTATTGGATGTATAAACGATTTTTTTTAGACTGCCTTGGACTGCAAAGTAATTAAAGACACATTTTGGTTAAACAAAATCCAGATAAGGAATCTTTAATAAGAAGGTCATATCAAATGGTAAAAGGAATAAGTTCATAAAATTTAATGTAAAATCGTAAATATAACAGTATCATCGGTGTAAGAAGGTTACACAATAATGTGTTAGTTAGCGTTAAGTTATATCTTAACGAATTAGAGAAATAAAACAAGTACCTATTCATTAGACATAATAAGATTGTTTATTTTGTAATGTAATTATTAGTTTATACTGTTGGTTCCATAACACCAGTGGTGGATTGTTAGTGTTGATGGTTAATCTCCTCAAACAGATAATCGGAGAAAGCTGAAACCCATATGGAGACGTTATATTTTTCAAATAACAAATAATTACCATCACGATCATTGAACAAAGTTTTTTATTGGCACCTCTTCTCTTGTTCGACATGCATACACCCAACATCATGACTGGTTACAAAGCAACTTATCGAAATCAATTTTATTTTGAACTAGTAATCCACAGCTTCCACAATAAAGTACATTACCTTTTGATGTTGATGTAACTGTGTCCCAAAACTATTACAATGTCATTATATAAATTACATTGTTTCAACTACTCGCACGCCAATCTATATCATAATGGACAGTTGATTGGATAAATGTGATGAATTGCCACGCCTATATTAAACTGATGTTCTATGAACTGACTTCAGATAGCTGTCAATATGGGGAAAAATATTCCAAACGGATATATTTAGACATTTGGCTGGGAACTAGTTTTCGATATTTGAAAAAAAATATTGATATCTCTAATTGTTACAGTATTAAAAGTGTTGAGAAACGTTGAACATTAAATTGTACATAAAGAAATACAAAAAACTGCAGGTTTTGTGATTTTATAAGAATTACAAATATTTAACAAATTTAATATTCATACAGAATGATTTTTTTCTTATTTTCTCAACATTGCCTGCTGAAAAGAGAGAGAGAGAGAGAGAGAGAGAGAGAGAGAGAGAGAGAGAGAGAGAGAGAGGGGATAGGAGGGGTGTCATCCCGAATTTCCGGAAAAAACAAAAGCTGAATACCGAAACCCCGTAAAATAAAACATTCTAGATTTGTTCTAGAGTTCAGTTTATTTAGATTTTCAGAAATTACAATTAAACAAAAATATTTTACACAAATTCGTCTTCAGACACGTAAATTGATATAGGTTACTAACTGGTCTGGATTTTGATAGAAAATAGCCAATGAAATGCATAAAATATTTTATGTCATGGGTCTCGCACGGACTGTCTTACTTTATAGGGATGCTTATGCGGCACATCAAAGATAAGATTTATTTTTAACCAGACATTTACCCATTGTACATTAGAATAAATTCACTTGAATACATTGAACTCTTATCTTGTCGACAGACAGTTGGCGTATAGCCAAAGTAGAGTCCTTTATGAAATTTGAAATTTAAACAACTCTTAATTTTCACGGGAACGAAGATTTTGCAAGTAGGTTGTAGTTATTAGATCATCAATGAAGTAATTTTAAAAATAAGACGTCAAGGTCGAAACTAGCTCTAGCTCATAATGGAGAAAATGTGAACCGTCTTAAAGCAAGAAGGTCTCCTCATGTACCCGAATTTCTGTTTGTGGACATATGTTGTTGGCGGATAAAGTCGCACTGACTTAAAGCAATGTAGGGTCTACAGAGAAATGACGATTTAAGTGTTCGAGGTATGTATCATTTGAATAAAAATATTATCTATGTAGAATTATTGCTGACTCAATTATGTATATTTTATTGCTTTATAAAAAAAAAATTCACTCTCCCCTTCCTCCACCCTGAAATTAATTATTCTTCTTCAAGAAATTTAGAATCAATAAAAATATGTTAAAACGTGGCAAACTAATTGTAAAAAAAAACATACTTTGCAGTGTTCTGTTGTTTTATCGGGTGATAATTTTCATCCCGGGGTCGTCATATATTTAAATGATTTTGAACAGCCCCGATGTTATGTCCAACTACCGAGTGCAGAAAACCTCCACCAAATTGAATAAAACATGCAAATTGATAGATACAAGATTTGGTTCCTTTCCATATTCAAAATTTTCACATTATTTAGAATTTTCTTTGTTTTAGAGTTAAATTTAATGATACATTTTGTAAGAAATTAAAATTATTTTTTTTAGGGCGAAGAGGATATTGTTTTTTCCAAACAATTGCACAAACCACCACTGGACTGGAGAGATTGACCTGTTAGTAACTACTGGAAAAGTGTCAACGTTTATGAATCGACATGTCCAACACTTGCAAGAGTAATTTCGGCAGTGTTTGTGAAAATAATTTCATCTTTTTTTAAATTAAAATCATAATTCGCTGCTGTCCGATAATTCAACCTTGCAGTGATTTACAGTTCAGTTGCTTGCCATACAACTATTGTCAGCCAAATTATTGCACAGAGAGGAACCATATCCTGTATTTCGGAACAGAAAAAGAACTTAAAATATTTACTGAAAAAGTGATAATTGTTAAAGCCCGTTAAATACATGTGTACATCAAATTAATTTTATTACGAAAATAGAAAATAGAAATTTGTGCACTCAGAAATGTGCATAGCAAATCGTGATGTTATCAGAACTTTTCATTGTTAAAAGACAAATTTTTTAATGGTCTGAAATCAGAAAGTGGCATTGGCGATAACTTGAAATACAATTTTAGATTTTGTATTTACTTTAAGAGGAATTTCAATATATGTTTTTTTGTGATATCAATAATAAATTTATGTAGAAAATACACAAATGAAAGAATTTGGCTAATGTAATAATTCTGTTCAAAAAGTTGATTTGTATTGCAAAAGGTTTTACCATACAAACACATAGTTTGGGAGAGGCGGAATCTTTAAAAGTCTACTTGATACTAAGATGCTGAACTGGAAATATATCATCACTATGAAGGTATACACCTCTTTATCATGCATAGGTAAATGAAAATATTCATCCTTATTTTGATTGATTGTAAACTCTCCTTGTTATATTTGTCATTGTCGATATTTCATGTTTGGTCTGCACGATTGCATTGCATAATTAAATAGCAGTTTCTTTTGTCTGTTTTTTTTTTTTTTTTTTTTTTCTCAAAGGTTAATTTTAATTCCTTCAACATGTGACCTCATCATTCTACATTTTAGCGCTCCCTAACATGTTTAAGTCCCGCCTCATTATTTATGTGCCTTTCCCAAGTCAGGAGATTGGAATTTAGTGGTTGTCGTTCGTTGCAGTGTATCATATTTGTTATTCGTTTGTTGTTTTATACATTCAGGTTTTTGTTTTCTCGTTTTGAATGCTTTACATTGTGTTATGTCTGGGCCTTTTATGGCTTGCTATGCGGTATGGGTGTTTTGCATATTGGTGAAGGCCGGACGATGACGTATATAGTTGCTGTAACATCTACGTCATTTGGTCCCTGGTGGAAGGTTGTCTCATTGGCAATCATACCACCTCTCCTTAGTTTATATTGTACTTATTCCAAATCATAAAATGATTGATTAAAATTACATAAGCTTTCTGAAAAGCTTTAAACTTTATACAGCAAACAGTTACATCAAATGCTTATACCATGTGCAGCTAATTATTTGAAATCGAAACCTTTCCCTCCAGGGATTGTAAAAAAAATGTCTTGCAATTCAATGTTAATGTATTTCTCTCTTCTAATATTTTTTTTTAAATCAAACAACTTTTGCGAAAGAAAACTTAATTCCTACATCCCAACATCTGTTTGACCGATGCAAGTCACATAATTTTGTGCGTTATAAATTACACCACAGACGTTCTTTATTCAAATAAAGGTAACAGTAGTATACCGCTGCTCAAAATTCATAAATCGATTGAGAAAAATACAAATCCGGGTTACAAACTAAAACTGAGGGAAACACATCAAATATAAGAGAACTACGACACAACATTAAAATGTAACACAAACAGAAACGAACTATAAAGAATAAGCTCAAAAGTACATAAGTATTACCAATTCACCATGATAAAGAAGGTTTATAATGTATAACGCATCAATTTACAATTGTTTACAGTTATTCTTCTCAAACAGTCTTATGGTGAACAAAATAAGGCAGCAAGACACCAGTTGCATTGAGATAACAGGCTGATAATTTAACGAGTCATTTAACGTTACATACCTTTATATACATTATAGTCTGATAATTTCTCTTAATTCTTAAAAAAGAATTCTTTTGACTTGGATGGAGAGTTGTTTCATTGGCACTCATACCACATCTTCTTATATCTATATATTATGGTGTTTATTGTTCATTATTGATAGCTATAGGTTAGAAAATACCCTGACATACTTTTTTCGACTTATAAATGTTACAAAATTGGTTGTAGTTCTGCCCAAGTGCACTTAGCTCGTTCTTCATTTAAGTGATTGAAATACAACATCTGTGACCTATTTAAGCGTATAAGTTGCAATTAAAGCTTTACCACTCAGACATGTATAAAATCTTTTTTTATTCACATCGCACTCATCTTCATATTGGGATCTTATTGAATGACGAAATTGTTTCTAAAATTGACATGCATTAAGATAACAGGCTGATAATTTAACGAATCATTTAACGTTACATTCCTTTATATACATTATAGTCTGATAATTTCTCTTAAATTGTATGTGTTGAAACTAAGAATAAGCTCGAAAGTACATAATTATTACAAATTAACCATGATAAAGAAGGTTTATAATGTATAATGTCTTTTGGATTCAAATTAATTAAATAAGGTTAGCGATGCAAAATTTTACAAAAATATGCCTTTATCAGCGACAGATAATAATTTAGATTGGGAAACAAAATTTAAGAAAATGATAAAGACTGTTAGAAAATCAGTTTCCAGTAGGATTTTGCAACTTTGAGATATTTACCTTGCAAGTTAAAAAAAATACAGGGGAAATTTGCCGCATCTTTTTGCATCGAAGAACATCCGGCGAAAACAATATTTGTTTTATCTTTCACATTTTTGTTCATAAAAGACATCGTTAGTTTTTAGTAAAGATTGACATTTGAGACTAGTGTGTGAAATGCATTGCCTCTTTAACAAATGTATATTCACGCACGTAGCGAAAATGTATAAGTTTCAATCGAAAAATGAAGGCACGTTTTTAGCTCACCGGGGCCCAAAAGGCCCCATGTGAGCTTATGCCATCACTTGGCGTTCGTCGTCGTCCGTCGTCTGTCGTCGTCTGACGTCGTAAACTATTTCAAAAATCTTCTCCTCTGATACTACTGGGCAAAATACCTTCAAACTTTAACTAAATGTTCCTTAGGGTATCTAGTTTATAAATCGAAGTTTTGATTCATCGACAAACATGGCCACCATGGCTAAAAATAAAACATAGGGGTCAAATGTAGTTTATGGCTTATATCTTAAAAACTAAAGCTTTTAGAGCAAATCTGACATTGGTAAAATGTTCAATTGGTCAAGATCTATCAGCCCTGAAATTGTCAGACGAATCGAACAACCCATTGTTGGGTTGCTGCCACTAAATTGGTAGTTTTAAGGAAATTTTGCAGATTTTTGTTATCTTGAATATTATTATAGATAGATATAAACTGTAAACAGCCATAATATTCATCAAAGGAAGATCTACAAAAAAGTTAATAAGACCATAATTGTAAATTGACCACTTAAGGAGTTATTGCCCTTTAAAGACAATTTTACACAATTTGTTCATCAAGTTTGATAACATTTAAAAATCTTCTCCTCTTAAACTACTGGGCCAATTACCTTCAAACTTTAATCAAATGTTCCTTAGGGTATCTTGTTTATAATATGTATCCGAAGTTTTGATTCATTGACAAACATGGCCGTCATAGCTAAAAATAGAACATAAGGGTCAAATGCAGTTTTTTACATATATCTCAAAAACTCAAGCTTTTAGAGCAAATCTGACATGGGGTAAAATTGTTCAATTGGTCAAGATCTACACAATTTGTTCATCAAGTTTGCTAACATTTAAAAATCTTCTCCTCTGAAATACAGGTGAGCGATTTAGGCTCTTATGAGCCTCTTGTTACTGACTGTTATTCAAAAGAAAACTTTCACTTTATACACAATATTTTCAAGCAATTACAATGTAATCTTACATTCATACAACTCCTAATCACTCCCCTGTTTTCATATTTAAATGAAATCAATGGATCCCATAAATTTTACGACTCCAGAATATCTTTCACATTTGATTAGTATTTGAAACTTCGGTACTAAATATATCATGCTGTTTCTTATGCACCGATTTTTCTTGGTCCCTTTTTGGAAGATGGATATATTTTTAAAAAAATAAATGTTTGACTAAATGTCTTGAAAAATGCATTGCTTGTTTTGAAATGGAATGGAAAAAGTATTTTATTTCTACTGAAAATTATTTTTAATTTGATAAATGTATTTTTAAAATATTGTCATTTAAGTTGTCCAGAGATGAAGTTCAAAAGACGGTTGTCAATCAATTAAAGAAGGCGGGGCAAACGGTCATTGGTATCCAATGAATAGTCCACTATACAAAATGTTGAAGAGCGGTGATGCTCAAACACATCAAATGACATTGTCATAAATGAATGACAATGTTGTATAAACAACAAATGGGGCTACTACATAATCACGATTGTGTAATCCTAATTCAAAATAAAGTTGAAATTGACAAGTAGCTTTGCAACCACTATCATGATGATGGGTGTAAAATGATCAAAAAAAAAAGATGTGATCATTGATCAAGAACATCAATTTACAAATGTTTACAGTTATTCTTCTCAAACAGTCTTATGGTGAACAGAATTAGGCAGCACGACACCAGTTGCATTGAGATAACAGGCTGATAATTAAACGAATTATTTAACGTTACATACCTTTATATACATTATAGTCTGATAATTTCTCTTAATTCTTAAAAAAGAATTCTTTTGACTTGGATGGAGAGATGTTTCATTGGCATTCATACCACATCTACTTATATCTATATATTATTGTGTTTATTTGTGACTACTTTTTAAGCATTGCCCATTATTGATAGCTATAGATTAGAAAATACCCTGACATACTTTTTTCGACTTATAAATGATACAAAATTGGTTGTAGTTCTGCCCAAGTGCACGTAGCTCGTTCTTCATTTAAGTGATTGAAATACAACATCTGTGACCTATTTAAGCGTATAAGTTGCAATTAAAGCTTTACCACTCAGACATGTATAAAATCTATTTTGATTCAGATCGCACTCATCTTCATATTGGGATCTTATTGAATGACGAAATTGTTTCAAAAATGGACATACATTGAGATAACACGCTGATAATTTACCGAATCATTTAACGTTACATACCTTTATATACATTATAGTCTGATAATTTCTCTTAAATTGTATGTGTTCAAACTATGTCCAATAACTGACAATTGGTTGTCTGATACATTCAGTGATTTACAGTCCATAAATAATGAGAAAGACCAAAAGTATTAACTGAAATTTTAAAATCTACCTAATAATGTCACTTTTATAACCAACTGGTGTTGTGCTGCCAAAGTCTATCACATCTTTTACATTTTAAATCATCATGATCATAACTCACATTAAAAATGAAAATGACAAAAATGAAAATAACATAAAAAATAAATCTTCTCGTGTTACAGAAATATTTAGGTAGACAAAGAAATGTTCAGAGGTTTTTTGGGGTACATCGTACTGAACAGACAAATAATAAGAAGCTGTCAGAGTTCTTTTGACCACATTCTTAGTGTAATTTAGAACAA